TATAAAATAGCAAAAATTTGGAGTGAGTTACAAAGTTGAGGTGGATGTAGGGAAGCTCATTCATTTACTGTGGGACATTGTTAAATTAAATTTGGCATTATTAAGTGAAATTTAAAATTAATACTCTTTTCAGTTCAGGAACTTGTTTTATAGACTTTCATAATCTCACAAAAGTGAGCAGACATGGGTGATTATTGTGGCATTATTTGTAGAAGTTATCAATTGCTGCTTAAGAAATTACCCCAAACTTAAAACTTTAAAGTCATAATAAAGCTTATTATTTCATGCAGTTTCTGTGTTTCAAGGAGTTAGAAAACAGCTTAGCTGAGTGGGTGTGTCCTGAAGCTGCAGTCAAGGTTGTTGGCAGAGGCTGCAGTTGTTTGAAGATCTGACTGGGGCTGAAGTTCCAGTCCCAATGTGACTCACTCAAGTGACAAGTTCCTTATTTCACAAACTTCTCACTCAAATACACTGTTGTGTCCCCATGACATGGTAATTGGCTTCCACCAGAGTGAGTGATCCCAGGGAGAGCAAGGCAGAGACCACTGGTTTTATGACCTAGTCCTGGAATATTGTCACAATATTGTCATTTACACAGGTCAGAGCAATGCACAGAGAGAAGGGAATATACAAGGGCATGAATGCCAGGAGAGGCGACTCACTGGAGGCCATCTTTTGAGGCTAGTTACCACAGTTCAGGATAACCACCACAAAAATATCAATAATCATTGCTAAGGTACTGGTTAAATAAAAGTTTTAACTTACTGAAATGCGATAGAACCATTGAAAAGAAGGAAGCAACCTATATGTGCTGTTATGGGAAAATTCCCCAAATACACAATAAAGTATGTGAAACACACATTTATATGTTTATAAGAAGATTTCCTTGCCGAAACCGGTGTGGCTCAGTGGATAGAGCGTCGGCTTGCGGACTGGGGGGTCCCAGGTTCGATTCCGGTCAAGGGCATGTACCTGGTTGCAGGCACATCCCCAGTGGGAGGTGTGCAGGAGGCAGCTGATTGATGTTTCTCTCTCATCGATGTTTCTAACTATCTCTCTCCCTTCCTCTCTGTAAAAAATCAATAAAATATATTTTTTAAAAAAGATTTCCTTGGTTTTCTTATAAAAGTAGTTATAGATGCATAGTTATATATATATGAGCATGAAATTTCTGCAACAATGTATAAAAATCTATCAAATGGGCAATGGAATTGGGGTGATAGTGGTTAGGTATATATAAATTATGTTCTATACCTATACTAGTAATGTTTGAAAAAGTGTTAGTATGAACATATGTTACATTTATAATTTTAAAAACTAGTTTAAAATATGCTCCACAGATATTTACAGGACAGTCAGCCCAAGAGGGTATCATTTTAGCCAAGCTCAGACAAATTTCCTCTTATTCAGGGGAACTGAGTGGTAAGCAGGAGAAACATAAGATAGTTTTCTGAATTGAGGAACAAGTGCTACCAGGTCTCTATAATCTCCAGGTTTCCAGCCTCAGCAAAGCTGGATTAACATAAAACAAGCATTACCCCCAAAGTAGAAATCTGTTGTGATGTGTTTCTTCCTATTCTGAGGCCATGGGATTCTTTGGAGAGTCTGATAGCTGGGACTGTGCAGGAATGGCAGGGTTTGCAGAGAGCAGCAGTCACACGGGGTCACAGAGCCATGGAAAGCCTCTCAGCACTGGTGTTAGTGGAGCTCCAGTGGCTCCCTGCACCAGGAGGGCTGCGGCATGTGAACACCTGTCTTAGAAGATATTCAGGCACTGCAGCTGCTGAAGTTGAGTCATCAGACTTGATGGATTATCTTGAAGAAGATGTGGGTCCAGGAAAGCGCATGCTTAGTTTATCACAAGGCCAGATTTGGGGTTTAAACCCTTGGAAGAAGTCCTTCACTGGGTTAAGGAAGAAGATAACTGAGAACTATCTGCAGTTAGAATAGAATCACAGAGCTTTAAGGAAGCTTTATCAAAATGCCAATAATGCAATGATAATTTTAAAGAGACAACCAATATTTATTGAGTGTGATTTATTCATTTACTAATTATCTATTTTAGAGATTAAAAAGCTGAGAATTAGAAAAGCTAAGCAATCTTCCCAAGGATATTACATCCTCTTATTTTTTTTTAATTTCAGTTTTCACAACTACCAGTAATTTAAAAATGTATTTACAAAAATAAGATTTGAAACAAATGACAAGTGCTGGAGAGGATGCGGAGAAAAAGGAACCCTCCTTCACTGCTGGTGGGAATGCAGACTGGTGCAGCCATTGTGAAAAACAGTATGGTGTTTCCTCAAAAATTTAAAAATGGAACTGCCATTTGACCCAGTAATACCGCTTCTAAGAATATTTCCCAAGAAAACAAACACTAATCAGAAAGGATATATGCACCCCTATGTTCATAGCAGCACAATTTACAATAGCTAAGATTTGGAAACAGCTTAAATGCCCATCAACAGATGAGTGGATTAGAAAACTGTGGTACATCTACACAATTGAATACTACACTGCTATAAAACAGAAGGAATACTTACCATTTGCAGAAGCATGGATGGAACTGGAGAGCATTATGCTAAATGAAATAAGCCAGGCAGTGAAAGAAAAACACCACATGATCCCAAATTAAACAATAAAATAAAATTAAAAAAATAAAAAGTAAATTAAAAAATAAGATTTGAATCAAACATTTTAATGGCTCCTGAAGCACTTCTGCCTAGGAGATCAGAAAAGTACTGCTTTACTGACCCACCACTAGCACCAATGTGTGGAATTTACAGACGGGTAAATTTTCATTCCATACACAGCAGAAGTTCTGATCCTGAAATGAAATTTCCTGAGTGGTGTTAAGTTCCCCATCACTGGAAATGTTCAAACAGAATCACAATGACCACCTGTTAGGTATATTGCCATTGCTGCCTTGCTCTCTCTGGGATCACTCACTCTGGTGGAAGCCAGGGTCCGTGTCATGGGGACACAACAGTGTACTTGAGTAAGGGGTCTGTGAGGTAAGAAACTTGTCAGTCACTTGAATGAGTCAAGTTGGAACTGGATCTTCAGCCCCAGTCAGATCTTCAAACAACTGCAGCCTCTGTTGACAATATATTGAGCAGGATACATTTGGGTTTCTTTCCAAATCTAAGTTCTTATGTTCTTATTAGAATAGAGGTTTCATTTTCTTATTCTTCAGGTCGAACTGAGTTGAAGCCTTTGAATGCAGAAGGCTGGACTAAGTATACTTGCCAGCATTGTGGGGGTTTAAGAATAATAACAATAATAAAAATAAACACTTTAAAAGCACTTAATATTTGCTTGGAACTTTTTAAAGTGCTTTACATATATTAATATAGGTAATCCTTTCTACCATCCTACTGAGGTGTTCTAATACAGGATTCTAACCTCTAAATCTGGTCAAGTCCATGATTTTCCATATCTGTGATATTTATGCTCCATGAAGTCCAACAGTTGCAGTTATATGACACTGCAAGTGAAGAAAGGTTTAGCTAAAACACTGCAGATAAATAAATAAACTGACAACAG